AAATTCTGTGCTGTTTCCATCCCATCATCCCATCAAATTATATCCCCAACCCTTGAATTTAGCAGCCCATTAGCTGCAGATCTGACTTTCATCAGAAATGCTAGGATATACATCTTTTGCTAGAGGCATTTGTTTTCTACTGGGTCTCATTCCAGCATTAATCCTGCTGACTGAGTTGACCTTAAAATTAGAAGCACATAAAACACTTCAGTCCCATGCTGCTGTTTCACAGTGTTTTTATACTAACAATACCTGTAAGTTAGTGTTCCCCGTGCTGAATTAAATAAATGAGGAGCAGAGCGGTGCTTACCTACAAGCTCCGCATTGTTCCCTATCAGATAATATTGCTCAGCCTCTTTTATCAAAACAGATGCGGCAGCTTGCATTTTAACCAGGATCCTCAATTCCCTTCCTGGGAAGAAGATGTGAAGGCAAGTGAAAATGGCAAAACTAGGCCTGTGCAAAGCCAGCCAACAAATGAATGCTGTCAATCACGAAGAGTGAGACTAGGGATGTGCATTCGGTTCGGACGAACCAAATGCACCCCAAAAATTGCCCATTTGGACCCCTTTCGGGCTGCTGCAGGCCGATTCAGATTCTCTAATCTGAATCGGCTTGCCGCCGAATTTCGGCGGCAATTTGGCCCCATTATATCCTATGGGCCATTGAAGTCAGTGGCGAAAACATAGGGTGTATTCTGGGGGCTGGAGGGCAGGGAGTTTGAGGGAGAGGCTCCAAACTCACAGGGTAGCTGCTGGAGCCTCTCCCCAAGATACCGACCAAGTTTGAAGAACATTGGACCAGGGGGTCCAATTCTACAGACCCCCAAACAGGTTGCCCCTATCCCCTCCATTGTTCTCTATGGTGGGAAAAAGTAACATTTGTTCCCACCATAGAGAACAATGGAGGGGATAGGGGCAACCAGTTTGAGGGCCCGTAGAATTGGACCACCTGGTTCAATGCTCTTGCAACTTGGTTGGTATCTTGGGGAGAGGCTCCAGCAGCTACCCTGCAAGTTTGGAGCCTCTCCCTTAAACTCCCTCCCCTCCAGCCCCCAGAATATACCAGCTTGATTCCCCACTCCTCCACTTGCACCTGCTGATGTGACCTTGGGTCAGTCACAAGCTCTGGCACAGCTGTCCTTGAAAAAGAGCAGTTTGTGTCAGAGTTCTCTCAGCCCCACCCACCTCACAGGGTGTCTGTTGTGGGGAGGGGAAGGGAAAGGAGTTTGTAAGCCGCTCTGAGACTCCAAGTGAAGGGTGGGGTATAAATCCAAACTACTACTACTACTACTACTACTACTCCTCTTCCTCTTCTTCCTCCTCTTCCTCCTCTTCTTCTTCCTCTTCTATGTTTTCGCCACTGACTTCAATGGCCCATAGGATATAATGAGGCTGAAATTGACATTCGGCTGGTCGAAAGACTCCCAAATCAACTGGTACCTACGAAACTGACAGGCGGGAGTCTTACTGCCAGCCAAAATTGATTCTGCCCGATTGGGCCGAATCCCAATGGGCCGAATTTTTTTTCTTTGCACACCCCTAAGTGAGACCATTGTCAACGAGGAGGAGGAGGAGGAGGAGGAGGAGGAGGAGATTGGGTTTATATCCCACCCTTCACTACCTGAAGGAGTCTCAGAATGGCTTACATTCTCCTTTTCCTTCCCATCCCCACAACAGACATCCTGTGAGGTAGATGGGAGGAGGAGATTGGATTTATACCCCGCCTTTCACTACCCAAAGGAGTCTCAGAGAGGCTTACAAACTACTTTCCCTTTCCCCTCCCCACAACAGGCACCCTATGAGGTAGGTGGGGCTGAGAGAGCTCTAGACATAAACTGCTCTTTTTTCAAGAACAGCTGTGCCAGAAGTATGGCTTGCCCAAGGTCATCCAGCCAGGTGCAAGTGGAGGAGTGGGGAATCAAACCCGGTTCTCCCAGATTAGAGTCTGCACACTTAACCACTACGCCAAACTGGCTCTCAATGGGGCTGAGAGAGCTCTCTCAAGAACTGCCCTTGAGAGAAGAGCTCTGAAAGAACTTATGACTGACCCAAGGTCACATCAGCAGCTGCATGTGGAGAAGTGGGATCATGTACATTATAGGGAAATCCACAGTGGTGGTGGTGTAAAGTGTCGCCAAGTCACAGCTGACTTATGGCAACCTCATAGGAAACGGTCTGCCTCTGCACAGCAACCCTGGACTTCCTTGGTGGTCTCCCATCCAAGTACTAACCAGGGCTGGCCCGGCTTAGATCCTGAGAGCTGATGAGATCAGCCTAGCCCGGGCCATCCACAGAGCCCTCTTCCTATTGGATCTGGTGTCCCCCTGCCCCCACCTCTAAAACCTGATTGCTTCTCATAGTGTAACCTAGTTCACTGGAATTCAGAAATTTTCCTTTTTAACAAAACTTAAGTATATGTCCTGACTGGCACTCACAAAGCACAAGGGAAAATAAGGGGTGAGGTCAGCATGGGGTTGCAATTCTGCAATCCTAGAATTACAATTGTCCCAATAGCTTAGCTGGCTTAATTCTCTGACGTGATATAGGAAAGTATGACACATTACAGAACCCAGTGAGTGCTGTCTGGTAGATCTGTGAAAAGAAGCAAAAACAAAGGGGTAACAAGAAAACCCACGGAACATAATCGTAATGGAACTGGGAGGTCCACTCCTCCCAACTTGACTGTGTACCAAAAGGTGCCGATTTTTCAATGAAGAGGGGAGTCTTTTTGTTTTGACTGACATTTAGTTCCTATCACAATGGCTGAGAGGCTTCAGTCAAAGGAGTCTTCGCCAGTCTGTCCACTCTCAGGAACCCTTGCACACCACTGGTGAACTTTGCAGGTATCCCTGAATGTGAAGAAAGTTCTCTGGTGACTCAGCATAAAAATTTGCCAAGCTAATAAATAAATCAATAAATCCCAGGTATAAAACACACACAATCCTGGGGAAATAGAGTACCGGCCAAACCCCTTTTTGAACAAGAAACCCACTTTCTAACTGGATCAAGAAAATCCCCCCCCCCCTTATCCCTGAGTAAGCCTGAAATAGGATGTTGGGAAGGAGAGAGTTTTCACAAGTCAGCCTGACCTCCGTCAATCAGTCACCTGGATGGATTGCTTGTCCCACCTCAGTAGGGCAGGTATGTTTATCAGTACAAACGGTACCTTTTATTTTACTTCTGTATTTTCCCTAATATCCAGCCAGTACCTTCCCACCCTGAATTTAAACCCATGATTGCGAGTCCTATCCCTCCGCTGAAAACAGGAACAGAATGCTGGCCTTCTTCACCCTACACAACCACAGCTTGATCCACCTATCTCTACCCCCATCCTTTCCCCCCCTATCCACAACCATAACCTTGACTTATGTCTGCTTCCAAAATACATCAGCCAGATGGCTGGAAAATAGCCAAAATCAATGAACTTAAGGAATTTTCACACTGCTAACATTTCTGACTCCCTGGACTAACCAATTAAAGGCCAACAGCTCTGTACACCTGAAACTGTTGAGCGGTTTGGTTGCAGCTGAAACAGAGTAACATTGACATCTTGTGGAATAAGTGAATTACTGCAAGGGGTGACGTTTGAGAAACTTCTGAAAAGAAAACAGCTGTTGTGAGACTCTGCAAATTGCTCTTACCCCATATATTTAATTGTGTGTGTGGAAGGCGTATAGCAGCCTTGCTTGCACAAAATCATGAGCTCATTTTAGACATCCTATTAAATTCATTTCCATGCACTGAGTTCAGTTGTCTGAAATGCAAAAGGCACAAAAGAACACAGTACCCACTCGTGGGATAGGGCAGGGTATAAATTAAAATAATAATAATAATAATTATTATTATTAATAATTATTATAGGCACCCATTTCAGACTCATATATTCTCTAATGCCCACAGCTACCACCCAGTTTGGAGCTCTTCAAGGAATATTCCACATAAACAGACATGAGCAGACGAAGCTGACTTCTACTCAAGCAGACCTTTTGGTGCATCAACGTCAGTATTGCCTACTCAGACTGGCAGCAGCTGTCCAGGGCCTTAGGCAGAGGTCTTTCACATCACCCACTACCTGATCCCTTTATAACCAGGGGCCTTCTGCATGCCAAGCAGATGCTCTTCCACTGAGCCACAGCCCCTCCAAACTCCGATCAACAAGTTGCTTGGGGGAAAAATACTCCTTACCTAGAAACTATTTTATTTCCAGCGAGCTTTGGTCTTTAGCATGAGATGGTGGAAGCCAGCATTTTTAGCTTCTGATATTCCCTTGCCATGGGATGTAAAACAGAGTTATCACGGAGCATCCGTGACAAGGAGAAAACAAAACGATCTTAAAGAGCTCTTTTCTTGTGTGGCCGAAGACTGTTCTTTTACTATGAAAGGTGAACTAATACATAACGCTTTACTGAGAATGGGCTAGCTCTGGATGCTATTGTCCTCTCCATAGAGACGGGGAAAATGCAATGCCGCCTTCTACATGAAATTCACAATACTCCAAATAGGAGCAGGGCCCATTGTCAACATCAATTAGTCATCTGGGAGGATTGCTCTGGACACATATAGTAAACAAAAATGAAAAATGGTCGCAATTCACTGCTTAGTAAAATCATCCTGGTGTTTTCCTTCTAGCCCCTTTGAGCAGTTAAATGTGGAGACACTGAACTATGCCTACTGTGCATCAGTGCTGACCTATGGCTTTTCCTCACTGGTATTTCCACTTTGCAAACTGGGAGGCCAACCAGCAGAGAATGACTTTCCTATCCCCACCCAGGAAATCCTCAACTCCAATGATTTATTCGGCGAGAACTAGATTTCATTGTTTGGCATTTCTTGCATCAATGAAAACATTTCTTGTGTCGATGAAAATTTCATCTGCCCCTGCCAAATCTTAGGACTCCATATTAAAAACTGCCGTCACATTTCATCATTAAAAATAAAAGAGAACGAAGAAGTAAAAAGTTGGAAGAAATATGCCACCCAAGGGCACTGCCCACGTACCATGCTGTTCATTTTCGATGAAGAGGAGCCCGTCCTTTGCTTTCGCAAACTGTTCAATTCTTCCGGGTGTCCATCCTTTGGTTTTAAGATCATCCGGCTACTTCCGGCGGTACCTTCAGAGGAAGATCTCAGACGTTTCTCTATGAATCTCCAATCGCGATGAGGGCTGAAACTACTGGCAAGTTTCACTGCGAAGAGGGCAAGAAACACACACTTCAAAACCTATGCTTCAAAAACTATTCTGCAGAAGAGGTATCAGTACATCTAATCCTCAATGTGACTACATCTGCAGATTACTTAAATCCACAGATCAGGGGCAGGTAGACAGAAGGGGGGATTTTCTTCAAACATGGGGAAACCCCTTGGTTTGCAGAAAAATGTGAACACTTCAAAGAAAATGAAGGAAATGGTCGTCCCTGGCCCAGAGGTCTTGCCTCGACCAGGGCCAGGGCTTTTTCTGCTCTGGCCCCCGCCTGGTGGAACATGCTCCCAGTCGAGATTAGGGCCCTGCGGGATCTTCTTCAGTTCCGCAGGGCCTGTAAAACGGAGCTGTTCCGCCAGGCCTTTGGCTGAGGCAGTGAACGTCTCTATATGGCCTCCCTGAGGTGATTGTCACCTATCCACCTATCCATCTGTTAACCCAAATAATACGCTAAAGAACCGTACAATAATATGCTAAAGAACCATACAACCAGTGACTGTCAGAAGTGTGACTGAGTTTTAATGTTTATTATTGAGTTTATTATTGGTTAAATTTTCTAACTTGTTTAATTGTAATCATATTTATTGTACTGTTTTTATGATGTTACCTGCCCTGAGCCCGCTTGCGGGATGGGCAGGCTATAAATACAAATAATAAATAAATAAATGGGGGGAAACATCCCTCAAAACAGAGAAACATTGTCTTTTCTGGCACAGGGTCCAACTACACTATATTGAAGTTCCACAATCACATCCCCAGTTTAGTCGCGAAGAACAGTTGGGGAGGAGGCAGGGTTAACTCTTCCTTGCCGTGCAGATTTTGCCTACAGAAATGCCCCCACCTCGACTGCCTAAAGTCCCAGTAAAGAAAAAAGACAGTCACAGAATAGATTCCTGTCTTCTTTTTTTTCCATAGTGGGTTTTAAAACAAACCAGGAAGGATTATTTCTAATTGCGGAAACAGAAATGGAACAAAGAGTTGGTCCTCTCTTCCTTCATCACCATGGCTGTGATCCATACCAGCCACACACAGGTCTTTGTTTGTGTTGCTCTGATGAACAGACACCTAAAGCTTATGCAGTCCCACTCTGGCGGAAGCAAATGAAAAGTGCACAAAAGCCACCAACACATAACAAAGGTTTGTGTGACCTGGTTATCAGGCCACTAAAGCAATGGAAATTACAAAACAAAAAACAACAACACTCCCCCACTAAATATATCCTTTGTAAAACACTAGTAAACCATTCTTTTAGGAACATGCCAACCAAACTGCCCCACTCATATGAATTTAGCTCAAGGCAGCTAGATGAGAGAGGAGGGGTGTCTCAGTGCTAATATGCCCTGTTAAAACATGACTTATAAGCATTTTTTTAAAAAATAAACCAACAAATAAGAATATGCATGTGATGATGGGAAGTTACACAGCGTGGACCGAAATTGTTCCTGCTCCTATTGTGGGTCAGGTATACAAGCAAATTGAGTGAGCAGCAAACTCATATCCAGCCACTGTATAACATTGCAAGAGACGGTTACACTGGGGGGAAATACAACCCAACTAGGTGTGTATGTACATTTGTGCCGTCAAAATGCAATCCCAGCAAGGGACTCCCAAGGCAAGTGAGAAGCAGAGGTGGCTTGCCATTGCCTTCCTCTGCACAGTCTCCCATCCAGGTACCAACCCTGCTTAGCGTCGATGATCTGATGAGACTAGGCTATACCATGCTGCCTTCCTTCCCTGAACAGGGTAGGGAAGAAGAACTGTAAAAATAATATAAACCTGACCTAAGAAAATGACTGGTAGTCCAATTCTCAACTTTACCAGGGGCTCAGCAAAACTAGAGCCCCAGGACATAGTCTAAGGGCACTTGATACAGCCACATTGTTAAAGTTAAGCAGATAGGAGTCTGGACAAGTTCTGGATAACAGACCTCCTGTGAAACCTGGCAAGTTGTATGTAAATTAATAAACCCCTTTATTTGTAGAGGTGATCCTCTGAACATTCACTGAAACTACCGAGACTATATGAGTAGTTTCTAGAAGGAGATGCTTCCGTGCAAACGGCATTTAGCTGGGAATAAGTGCATTCAGGAATAGGTCTTTGCATAATTTCAAGTACACTTACTTTCAGCTAAGGGGTCCATGGATAGGCTTCAAGGGGTCCGTGTACCAGGCACAAAAATTATTCTTTTCCTCTGATTTCCTTCTTGTTATTTTGGAAATCGTCTTTGTGAAAAACATTCCTAATTATGTTATTACAGTAACGCTTCATTCCAAACCAATGTAGGAGGGCGTGGGATGCAACCATACAGGTTCAGGTAATGTACAATCGTCATCATCACCTCACTATGACATTTTTCCTGGGTTGGGGGTCCATAGCTTCCATCAGAGTCTCAAAAGGGTCTGTGACCCCCCAGAAAGGTTAAGAACCGCTGAGCTAAGTGCTATTTGCATGTGCTTGAAAAACCTAATCACATTTTAAAAATAAAAAAGGGAGAAGAGCATCAGAACACATACCGTTTGTGTGGTTTATTTCATATCCCTGCTGAGTTTGGAAAGACTGTGGTTCAGAAGATGAAGGGATGACCTTAGTCTCAGATATGGGGATGGCTTCTCTAATGTGTTCAGGTGCTCTAACACGTTGTTGGTCCCTATGTGATCCCTGTGCTTCTGGAGAACACCAAGTTATTTCTCCCTGGTTTAAGACAAAAGGTTTTAATTGTGCTTCAGCTCCTGAGCTTACTTCTTCCAGATGGCTGGTCTGTTGAACGGGAAGTTCTTTCCATAATACTTTTGCGTGGTTTGGATTAGCATCAAGGGCTTTAGATAGGCCACTAGCTTCGCTGAGCAGTAAATTGTCTGCTCCCTGACTCTCGGTTGCTATAACAGCACAATGAGAAACACTTTCAATAGGATCTGTTTTCCTTGAGAAGGGAGCAGCAGCAGCAGGACTGAGGAAGATCTGAGAGGTAGAAACATTGTGGACAAAGGTTTCCGCATGCAAATTCCCACCGTTGGGCAGCCCATCGACTTCTGAGACAGAGTCTTCAGTCAGTGCCAGAAACTCGGAAGGGGTCTGGACCATGGTCACATCGGCGGAAAGCATCGGTGACTGCAAAGAGCTGCCTACACATTCTACAACCTCAGGAGAACACGATGGGGAAGGCCTGGCCGACAGGGGTTCACTTTCAACACTGGGTTTAATATCCAGCTGGCACGAAGACGGTTGCACGCACGAAACTGACTGGCTTTCAGGAACTGGCTTTGAAAACCGATAGTGTGTCGAGAAGGATTTGGGGAGAAGTTTCCTTGAGGAATGTTTAACAGAGGACCGGCTTTGTTCCTCTGTGAAGCCAGAATCATCACCTTCATTTTTGCCAGACCGGATGCAATTTATGAAGACGTTCTTATTGGCTGAAGGCTCCCTGCCCTTTTCAAAGTCCTCCGTCACAGACCTTGTGATCTTCTTACTTCGAGAACTTCCGAAGCCTACAGAATGCCTCCCTCTGCTTTTCACGTGCTCCTCCAAGCCAAGCTTTTGCAAAGTGTGACTGGACTGAGCACCATTGGAAACAGCTGCATTTTGGCTTACAGGTTCGGCTTTCTGTTCACTCCCTTTCTTGTGGTGGAAGCTAATGGAAGGTGTGCGGAACAGGCTCCTGCGTTTGCCTGTGCTACCTGAGCTGGAGTTGGTGCTGGAGGGAGAAGAGCTGTGAACACCAACGGTACTATTGGAAGTGGGCGATGATGGAAGGGAATCGTGTCTTCGGCTAATACTTCTCCTGAATATTGGCAACCGGGACACAATGATGGAACGCCTCGATCCTGAGTCCCCCATCAGGATCCTTTGTGCTTGGCCAGGATCAGCCAATATTAAAATCTGTATGGGTGGAGAAGAAGAAGTGCATCATCATCATCATCATCATCATCATCATCATCATCATCATCATCATCATCATTGTTATTATTGTTATTATAAATTATAGACACATTCAACTTTTAATTTCCATAAACATGAAAAAAGCTCCCAGAATCAAAAGGCAAGTAGGTACCAGAATACTCTCTATTCCATTGTCCTTGCAATCATACGATTGTGGAGAGCCAACCGTAGGCTATACATCTCAAAGTAGGCTACATCTAAGAGCATAAGAAGAGCCCAGCTGGATCAGACCAATGGTTCATCTTGTCCAGCATCCTGTCTCACACAATGGTCGATCAGTTTCATCTAGTCCAGCATCCTGTCTCACACAATGGTCAATCGGTTCCTCTGGAGAGCCAACAACAGGGCACAGAGGCTAAGGCATTCCGCTGATGTTGCCTCCTGGCTCTGGGATTCAGAGATTTAGTGCCTCTGAATGTGGAGGTTCCCCTCAGTCACCAGGGCTGGTAGCCACTGATAGACTTATCCTCTATAAATCTATCTAATCCCCTTTTAAAGCTGCTTGTTCCTGTGGCTATCACTATATCCTTTGGCAGCGAATTCCACATTTTAATAACTCTCTGTGTAAAGCAGTATTTCCTTTTGTCCATCTTGAACCTCCTGCCCATCAACTTCACTGGATGCCCTCAAATTCTAGTGTTTTGGGAGAAGGAGAAAAAATACTCTTTGTTAATTCTCTCCATGCATTATACATCTCCGAGTTCCACTATACTTCTCATCAATCTGACAATATATTGCTTAGGGGACCACAAAATTATTTTTCTCCTCCTTTCTCTCTCACCCCTCTTCCTCTCCAGAACGTCCCCTTGCTTTTTCTATTGCTGCCTGAAACCTGCCGTTTCATCTGCCCCAGTCTAGGAATGTGATACCTCACCAGCCATAGTAGAAGATGGCAATTTTGACAATACTCAAAGCTGGCCACTTGAGATCTACTCCTTACTCACCCTAATGCTGGTTATAGCATGTCACAAAGATATTCATACTCACATTCGCATTCACACAAACGTATTGGACAGACATCTTTTTAATACTAAATAGTCCTTTTTAATACTAAATAATCATAACAACGTAAGAAGCGTTCTGCTGGATCAGATCGAAAGGTTTCACATGGTGCCTACCCAGCAGTTCTGGGAAGGTCAAGGAAAAGGTCATAAAGGCTAAGGCCTTCCCTCAATGATGCTTCCTAGCACTGGTATGCCAAGGTTTATTTCCTCTTTATGTGGGAATCCCCTTCAGTGACCATGGCTAGTAGCCATTAATGGAACTCTTCTCATCACCTGAGAGACCCCAACTCTAGGATTCTCTACAGTGTCATCATTCACCACCTCAGGAAGCTTCCAGAGCTGAGAGTCTCAGGAAACACTCCAGCCACACAGGCAAACTTTTACACTGAAGGAGAAGATAGTTTATCTCAAGAAGTATCCCGAGTGTATTTCCTATCCCTGCTCCTAAGAACTGCCCTCATAAGGTGTTAAGCCCCAGAAAATAAAGATGAACACTAATTCATCAAACGGATGGGGGGAACTAAATTCTGAGCTTTAAATACCCAGTTATTAACTCTCTTCATTCTTCCTGAGAAAACCACTCTTCTACAAATGGATTTATATGTTTTTTCTACAATGCTGTGCTGACACATTTTATCAACATTTTCCACTGTGTTTCATATTTACCCGTGTTACTTTCTCACTTGAGTACCAAGACCTTCTTGGTGCCCATATTTGTGACCCTTTCTCCGTTTACATGTTTTCACATTCGATTTACCTTTGACTCTGTAAAGGAAACAAAGGTTGAGTGGGGCTGCCGTCGTTACCTCAGAATAAACACCTATATAAACAAATCCTAGGCTTTCCAAAGAAAAGTGGCTCAGTGGCCCCATTCTGCTTTTAATCTCAGAACAGAACTCTCTAAAGCTGGTCTGTGTCACTACTAGACACAAACCACAGTACATCAGCCATGTACAGTGGCTCACCTAGGCTCAATACACTTCATTCCTTTGCTTCCATCTTGGGACTGCCGAATCAGAAGGGTTGTCAAGCAACCAGGATATATAGCTGGTGGGCCCTGTTTGGATTGGTTGCTGCAAGCTGTGCAGGCCTGCTCGAATACATGCATAATATCCAGCCCAAACCACAAAAAAAACAAATTGCCTGGATAATCACGCGAAAACTCTGGAGGCTGTTTATTTCCCTCTGAAGAAATTAACTTTGTGTTAGGCCTTTTTGTTCTCCAATTCCCTATCATTATTTCTCATTTTTACAGAGCGTTTTACCATTCTCATCTTAAATACCCTCATAAAAAGCATATGAGGTAAGTTAGGTTGAAATACACCAACTTGCTAAGGAGTATCCAGGGAACTTCATGGAGGAGGAATTTGAATACGACACTCTCACACACACCCCATTCGGGTTTTCCCCCCTACAGTCCCCCTAATCCCTTGTTGCTCATTTCCTGTGTCTAGGACAGGAGTAAGAGGTTTTTCCCTGCTGTTTTTATTTCACAAATTATATTTTACAACTTTCACTGAAATCAGTTAACAATCTATTTGGGTTTCCAGGAGCAGTTACTTTTGGCTTAGGCATGAAGTACTGAGCATTTGCTTAATCAGTTCACCAGTTCAAAGCACTTCACAAACATTAGCGCAATTACACTTGCGATGGTCCTGCAAAATGTTACATTTTAATATTATATTGTATTGCATTGGTGGCAGTGAATCCTTCCCAGCAGTGCTGCTAACACCACCCTCAGGGTAGGAGCAGAACATAAAACTGGTAGAACACATGGATGCCTTTAGGCAAACCTAAAGGCCTGGTGCCTAAAGGAAAGTAAGGTACAAAGCAGAGAAGCCTCAAGGAAGGGCACTCCAAAGATGACACATCACCACTGAAGAAGCCCTGTCTCTGGTTTCCACCCATTTTCCTCTGCTGGTGAGGACAAACCTGAAAAATGGCCATACGTCAGGGGTCTTCAACCTTTTTTAGCCTGCAGGCACTTTTGGAACCCTGACCCAAGGTGGTGGGCACAAAATGGCAGCGGCAAGAGGTGAGCCAATCACAAAATTTTTGCCAATCCATTGATTGATTGAAAATGGCTGCAACAAAAGGCAGGCAAACCACAAAATGTTAAGGGAGTGAAGCTATGCAAAACTCTAATAGTAACTCTTCAACATTCAGGCAGAAGCTCTCTTTAACAGGGTGCTTTTTAAAATGACCAAACTGCTTAAAAATATTTTCTTGCATACACACATCTTTCCTTCAGTCGCACAGTGAAGATCCCTGTTCTGTGGTATTAGCTGCTGCCAAAGCAATTAAAAAAAAATATTGTACAGCCAAATCTTCAATGGCCAACCAGAAGCCCTGCACGGCAAAAAACCTCACTTGGCCCTGCCCACTTTCTAAACATACTTGGAATGCACCAGGAAAAGTGTCGGTGGACGCCATATTGGGGACCCTCACCATAAACCATCCCCTCTCTTTCTGACCCCTCCCCTTGCTAACATGTGTGTAGGGACACGGTCTCAATGTGACCGATATAGGTGGCACATGAACACATGAAGCTGCCTTACACTGAATCAGACCACTGGTCCATTGAGGTCAGTATTGTCTACTCATACTGGCAGTGGCTCTCCAGAGTCTCAGGCAGAGGTCTTTCATGCATGGCCACTGGCCACCTCCACATTATATTTGGACTAGGAATAAGGCCCGTTGTGGAAATAAATATAACGAGCTCTAGAAAGAGGCTCTGGGAGAGTGCCCCAGCCTTGGGTACTCAGCGTCAATTTGCTGTGGCAACCTCAGCAGGGTATAATGACACAGAGTCCACCATTTTCCCAGGGAAACTAATCTCTGCCATCTGAAGAGCAGTTGTAATTCTGAGTGATCTCCAGCCCCCACCTGGAGATTGGCAACAATGGTTCCACATGACTGAATGGTTGGCTTGGAGGGTGAAGTCTATGGCATTGTACCTGTCTGAGGTCCCACGCCTCCTCAAACCTCACCCTTTCCAGGCTCCACCCCTCAAATATCCAGGAATTTCCCGACCTGGAGTTGGCAACCCTATCTCCCTCCCAGACGACCGTCAACCTACCGTTATCTGCCACCTGGCTTCAGCTTTCCATCTCCTCCCCCACCCTCCTAGAGAGCAGTTGTAATTCTGAGTGATCTCCAGCCCCCACCTGGAGATTGGCAACAATGGTTCCACATGACTGAATGGTTGGCTTGGAGGGTGAAGTCTATGGCATTGTACCTGTCTGAGGTCCCACCCCTCCTCATACCTCACCCTCTCCAGGTTCCATCCCTAAAATCTCCAGGAATTTCCCACCTGGAGTTGGCAACCCTGTCAGGACTGGCCTTAATGAGTTTTCTCCCAAAGGTCAAAACAGGTGTGGAAAGGGCCTTTTACTGACAGAACCTGGTTGCCTAGCAACAGGCACTGAGGAGAAAGTACAGCTGCCAGCTCTGATTAGGGAAATACCCGGAAATTTGGGGGTGGATCCTGTGGAGGGCAGCATTGAGGGGCAGTTGGAAGGACTCAGCAGGGGACAATGCCATAGGGTCTACCCTCCAAAGCAACCATTTTCTCCAGGAGAACTGATCTCTGTCATCTGGAGAACAATTGCAACAGCGAGAGATCTCCAGGCCCCACCTGGAGATTGGCAACCCCAGGGGAAAGTCAGCCACACAGCAGGGGGTTGAAGAGAATGGTTTGATGGTCGCTGGCCCACATCATTAGCCAGCCAGCCATGGTGGAGCCAAAAAGGAGAGAGAGCTGTTTTAAGTTTATTCTGACAGGAAAGTGGCAAAGCTGGCAGTGGGCGTGGGAGGGGGTTATGCTGAAAGTCCTTTGTTTTTTTGCTGACAGAAGTTGGTTGCCTACCAACAGCCACTGAGGGGACAGTTAGTCACAGTTAGTCCCACACAGGAGCCAAGAGAAGTGTC